CCCAGCAAGTGCAATGTCAGTAGGTCACTGTCACTTGATACATTGTACACAAAACCGTTTTGTTGGCAGAATCAGGCCTGATCTCTGTTAGCACTTTTCAGTAAATTTTGATGACTCTAAAATGCAGCAGAGTGCCAGTGCTAGTGCCATACTACCTTTTGGTGAACTGGCGAGCACCAGCGGTCTAGTACATCCTGGTCTTTCACATACCTCTTAGATTGTAAGCTCCCAGGATCAGGCCCTCCTAACCCTCTTGTGTTGAACTGTATTATCTCCCGTTATATTGTAAAGCACTGAGCAAACTGTTGGCGCTATATAAATCCTGTATAATAATACCAGCACTGCAGTATGATTTGGCAACATGGCGAGTCCCATAAGCGTAGTGCAAGCTGGCGCAGTGGTGAGCACAAGTATTGTCCGGCAACCACCACCAAGAATTCACACACAGGCCCGTAGAGCCGCCAACCCAAATTCAAACCTTGCCAGACCATTCACATGGAAACCCATTACGGTTTCTGAATTAAATTTTTTTTTTTTTTTTGGACCTAACCCTCAACATTGGCATTACTAAAAAAAATGAACTGCGGTTGTATTGGTCCGCAGACCCGATTCATCATATGCCCGTCTTCTCTGCTGCCATGGCCAGGCATAGATATGAGAGTATAATGTGTTTTATGCATTTAAATTACATTACACTCTGTCGTCCTCGGGGTGACCTTGAATTTGATCGGCTCCACAAAATTCAGCCCCTCACAAATCATCTTAACCAAAAATTTGCAGATGTCTATACTCCCCAGCAAAACATCTGCGTTGATGAGTCCCTCATTAATTTTTCTGGCCGCCTTGCATTCAAACAATTTCTCCCCAGCAAGCGTGCCAGATATGGGGTCAAGGTGTATAAGACCCGTGAGAGGACAACAGGCTATACTTATAAGTTTCGGATTTACGAGAGAAAAGATAGTCACGTGGAGCCCCCCAGATGCCCAGACTAAATGGGGAGCAGTGGCATGATAGTTTGGGACTTGGTGTCATCCTTTTTCCATATGGGTACCACTTATACATGGACAATTTTTATTCAAGCGTGCCACTATTTAGACATTTGTACAATCTTGGAACTGGCGTATGTGGCAAAGTGTGACCTCATGTGTGCCCACCATTAGAAGTGGGTGGATGCAGGTATATTCTAATGGTGGGCATATCACATACTTTTTCTGGGCAGAGATTTCTCTCTCTTTTTTTTTTATTCAGTCCACAGGCTGCATAAAAAAAAAAAAAAAAAAAAGAACATAGCATATACAGTAATACCTCGGTTTACAAATGCCTATGTTAACGTAATTTTCGGTTTACGAATAAAAATCCACTGAAAATAATGCCTCGTTTGAAATTTTTTACAAATTGTTTTCACAATACTAAGTGTATGTCAGTGCTGATTTTTAAATGCAATTGCCATCTTTTTTTTTTTTTTTTCTTCAGTATAGCTCACAACATTAGCTGTCAGTTTCCGAGAGCTAAAGGATACTTTGTATATTTTAAGAAACTGAAAGGAAACATTGTATCTTTGAACTTGGGGAAATAAACTAAAAGAAACTCTCTTTCAGCTGGAGGGGGAAAGTGACAGCTGAATTTCTGAACTACTGTATAGTGAAGGGAAAAAAAACAAAACTGTAATTACATTTAAAAACTGGCACCTGACAGCTGAGTGAATTGCCTGCAATTAAAATTTTTATTTAATTAATTACCAGCAATTCTTTTACATTCATCTGTCAGTGAGGAAACCAATAATTAACACATGGTTGTCATAACTCATGCGGTAATAAAATTTAGTAGCGTTTACTGTTTTTCTGACCATCTGAACGGATTAATTGGTTTTCAATGTATTCCTATGGGAAACAGTGTTTCGGTTTACAAATTTTTCGCTATATGAAATGTCCTGCAGAACGAATTAAATTCGTACACCGAGGTACTGGACTTTAAATGGTTATACCAGGATGATGCCTACAGCTGCAGGCATCATCCTGGTATCATTTCTTTTCAGCCGGCGATCGGCTTTCATGTAAAAGCAATCCTAGTGGCTAATTAGCTGCAGGATTGCTTTTACAAGCAGCAGAAGACAATGCCCCCCCCCCCCACTGCCTTCCACGGCCTTCTCGGGCAGTCCCGTGCCATCGGGGGAACCTGAGAATGCAGCCGGTGTTTCTGCCAGCTGACCATAGAGCTGATTGGAGACCAGTATGGTGCCAATCATCTCTATAGCCTAAGAAATCAGAAGTTACGAGCATTTCATCACTTCAGTTTTGCAGGATATAAACAGCGCCATTTGTAAATTGGGAAACCATCTGATCACACCGATCTTGGTTTCATTAGATAATGTAAGGGCAGAGGAGATATCTAGAGTCTGATTTCTGAAAAAAGAATATATGACAATGCCCACTGAAGTTATAGGGGATATTTGCATTCCCTGTGATAGCATTAAAAGTGTTAAAAAAAAGGGACAGTGTAAAAATAATTTAAAAAATCAAAATAACTTAAAAAAAAAAAAAAAAAGTACCCTCACCCTCCCACGCACACCTGCATTCGTGAGCCTTGACCCTGTGCCAGTATGGAAACAGCAGTTGCACCATGCATTTGAGGTATCGCCACGAACGTCAAATCAAGGGCAGTAATTCTGACACTAGACCTCCTCTGTACATCTAAAATGGTAGCTTGTAAAGGCTTTTAAAATGTTGCCTATGGATATTAAAAACGTATGCATTTGTCGCCATTGCACGGGGCATGCAGTTTTAAAGCATGTCATGTTTGGTATCTATTTGCTCGGCATACCATCATCTTTTATATTTTACTAAATAATTGGCCAATATATTGTGTTTTTGTGCATTAAAAGTGTATTTTTTTTTTTTTAAATTGCGTTTGAAAAATCGCTGCACGAGTACTATGTAACATAAAAAATTGCAGCACCCACCATTTAATTCACTAGGGTGTTTGCTTTAAAAATTATATAATGTGTGGGGTTTAAATTAATTTCCTAGCAAAAAAATACAGATTTTTTCATGTGAACAAACAGTGGCAGAAAAGGCTTGGTCTTCAGGTGGTTAGAAGAGTGAGTGATGTGTGGCATAAACTTCTAATGCCCCCACCCCCCAAAATGACCCCTTTTTGAAAAGTAGACACCCCAAACTATTTGCTGAGAGGCATGTTGAATCAATAGAAGAATTTATTTTTTTACCACAAGTTTTTGGAAAATGACAATTTTTTTTTTTTACACAAAATTGTCACTTAAATGATTTATTGCTCACACATGCCATGGGTATATGTGGAATTACTCCCCAAAATACATTCTGCTCTGCTACTTCTCCCGAATATGGGGGTACCACATGTGAGAGACGTTTTTTTGGCAGTCTAGCCAAGTACAGGACCCCAAAATCCAACCCCCCCCCCCCCCCCCCCCAAATAACCACTTTTTAGAAAGTAGACACCCCAAGAAATTTGATAAGAAGCATGGTGAGTATTTTGCAGATCTCGTTTGTTGCCACAAGTTTTTGGAAAATGAAGAAAAACAAACAAAACATATTTTTTCTTTTTTTTTTTTTATATTTCAAAACCTTGTGAGAAAAAATGAGATCTGCAAAATACTCATCATGCCTCTTTTTAAATTCCTTGTGTCTACTTTCCAAAAAGGGGTAATTTGGAGGGGTTTGGGGCTATCCTGGCATTTCAGGGCCTTCGAAACTGTGATAGGAAGTAAGGAAGTGAAATGAGGAAGTTACGCACCTGCAGGCTTTCAAAGTGGTCATTGGATTTCAGGCTTCTGTATATGGCTAGGCTCCCAAAAAGTCTCACCCATGTGGTATCCCCATACTCGGTAGAAGTAGCAGAATGTATTTTAGGGTGTAATTCCACATATGCCCATGGCTTGTGCGAGAAATATATCATTTAAATGACAACTTTGTATAAAAAAAAAAAAAAAGTTTTTGTCATATTCCAGAAACTTGTGTGAAAAAAAAAATAAATCTTCCATGGACTCAATATGCCTCTCAGCAGATAGCGTAGGGTGTCTACTTTCCGAAAAGGGGTCATTTGGGGGTGTTTGTACTGTCCTGGTATTTTAGCACCTCAAGAAATGTGATGGGCAGTCAGAAAGGAAAAGCTGTGTAAATTCCAGTATCTATACCATAGTTTGTATACGCTATAACTTTCACACAAAGCAATCAATATACACTTATTGGGATTTTTTTTACCAAAAACATGTAGCAGAATACATTTTGGCCTAAATTTATAACTAACTTTGAGTTTACTATATATTTTGTATAGCCGAAAGTAAAAAATATTGTTTTTCTTCAACATTTTCGGTCTTTTTTTTGTTGATAGCGCAAAAAATAAAAAGCGCACAGGTGATCAAATACCACCGAAAGAAAGCTCTATTTGTGCAAAAAAAAGGACGTAAATTTCCTTTGGGTACAGCATTGCATGACTGCGCAATTATCAGTTGAATTAGTGCAGTGCTGAGTAGCAAAAAGAGGCCTGGTCATTAACCACCTCCCGTCCGGCCGCTGTTTATAAACGGCAGGACGGGACACCTCTAGGAGCGGGTTGCCGTTTCTGAACGGCACCTTGTATCTGAGGCTCGTGCGCGGCTCCTAGAGCGCGCACCCGCGAGCCCGATGATCGCCGAGTCCGACGGACACGGTGGATTACGTGACATGGTATGGGACCAATGAAATCGGTCCCATACCATGTGATCAGCTGTGTCCAATAAGGACACATCTTAAGTGTAAACAAAAAGCCGCATGGTGCGGCTTCCGCCTCCTTCTCCTCACACGGAGTTGTCTGTGAGAGGAGAAAGAGCGAAGAATAGGTGGTAGCCAACTGCCCTCCACCTCAGTGACACCTGATCACCCCTAAAGTGTCCCTGATCGCCCCTAAAGTGTCCCTGATCGCCCCTAAAGTGTCCCTGATCGCCCACAAGTGTCCCTTATCACCCACAAGTGTCCCTGATCACTCCAACAAGTGGCCCTGATTGCCCCACGTGTCCCTGATCACCCCAACAAGTGGCCCTGATTGCCCCACGTGTCCCTGATCACCCTAACAAGTGGCTTTGATTTCCCATAAGTGGCCCTGATCGCCCACAAGTGACCCTGATTGCCCCACGTGTCCCTGATCACCCACAAGTGTCCCTGATCGCCCACAAGTAGCCTTGATTGCCCACAAGTGGCCCTGATCGCCCAACAAGTGGCCCAGCAGTGTCCCTGATTGTCAGTGTCCCTGATCGCCACATAGTGGCCCAGCAGTGTTCCTGATCGCCACAGTGTCCCTGATCATCGCAGTGTTCCTGATCGCCACACAAGTGGCCAAGTAGTGTCCCTGATCGCCGCAGTGGCCAAGCAGTGTCCCTGATCGTCACAAAAGTGGCCCAGCAGTATCGCCGCAGTGGCCAAGCAGTGTCCCTGATTGCCACACAAGTGGCCCAGCAGTGTCCCTGATTGCCGCAGTGTCCCTGATCACCGCAGTGTCCCTGATTGCCGCACAAGTGGTCCAGCAGTGTCCCTGATTGCCGCAGTGTCCCTGATTGCCGCACAAGTGGTCCAGCAGTGTCCCTGATCGCCGCAGTGTCCCCGATTGCCGCACAAGTGGTCCAGCAGTGTCCCTGATTGCCACAGTGTCCCTGATTGCCGCACAAGTGGTCCAGCAGTGTCCCTGATTGCCGCAGTGGCCCAGCAGTGGCCCTGATCACCACACAAGTGGCCCAGCAGTGTCCCTGATCACCACACAAGTGGCCAGCAGTGTCCCTGATCGCCGGACAAGTGGTCCAGCAGTGCCCCTGATCACCGCAGTGTCCCTGATCACCGCAGTTGCCCAGCAGTGTTTCTGATCGCCGCACAAGTGGCCCAGCAGTGTCCTGATCATCGCAGTGGCCCAGCAGTGTCCATGGTCGCCGCACAAGTGGTCCAGCAGTGTCCCTGATCGCCACAGTGTCCCTGATTGCCGCAGTGTCCCTGATTGCCGCACAAGTGGTCCTGCAGTGTCCCTGATTGCCGCACAAGTGGTCCAGCAGTGTCCCTGATTACCGCAGTGGCCCAGCAGTGTCCCTGATCAGCGCAGTGTCACTGATTGCTGCACAAGTGGTCCAGTAGTGTCCCTGATCACCGCAGTGGCCCTGATTGCTGCAGTGGCCCAGCAGTGGCCCTGATCCACCACACAAGTGGCCAGCAGTGTCCCTGATCACCGCATTGGCCCAGCAGTGTTCCTGATCGCCACACAATTGGCCCAGCAGTGTCCCTGATCGCCGGACAAGTGGCCCAGCAGTGCCCCTGATCACCGCAGTGTCCCTGATCACCGCAGTAGTCCATCAGTGTCCCTTCTGATCGCCACACAAGTGGCCCAGCAGTGTCCTGATCATCGCAGTGGCCCAGCAGTGTCCCTGATTGCCGCAGTGTCCCAGCAGTGTCCCTGATCACCGCAGTGTCCCTGATTGCTGCACAAGTGGTCCAGCAGTGTCCCTGATCACCGCAGTGTCCCTGATTGCCACAGTGGCCCAGCAGTGGCCCTGATCACCCACACAAGTGGCCCAGCAGTGTCCCTGATCACCACACAGTGGCCAGCAGTGTCCCTGATCACCGGACAAGTGGTCCAGCAGTGTGCCCCTGATCACCGCAGTGTCCCTGATCACCGCAGTTGCCCAGCAGTGTTTCTGATCACGCACAACAAGTGGCCCAGCAGCAGTGTCCTGATCATCGCAGTGGCCCAGCAGTGTCCATGGTCACCGCACAAGTGGTCCAGCAGTGTCCCTGATCGCCACAGTGTCCCTGATTGCTGCAGTGTCCCTGATCTGACCACACAAGTGGCCCAGCAGTGTCCCTGATCACCGCAGTGGCCCAGCAGTGGCCCTGATTGCCACACAAGTGGCCCAGCAGTGTCCCTGATCACCACAGTGGCCCAGCAGTGTCCCTGATCACCGCAGTGGCTCAGCAGTGTCCCTGATTGCCACACAAGTGGCCCAGCAGTGTCCCTGATCACACCGCAGTGGCCCAGCAGTGTCCCTGATCGCCGCACAAGTGGTCCAGCAGTGTCCCTGATCACCATACAGTGGCCCAATCAGTGTCCCTGACCACCTTACAGTGTGCCTGTTCATACAGTGTCCCTGATCTCTGCCACACCAGTGGATCCTGTTCACTGCCATCGTCTGTGAGGAGAGAGATCCAGTACAGCTAACTGTGAGTAATTTTCAGCCTTTGCACAGAGTTTTTTCCAAAACAGCAATAGGTAGTTAAGAAATTAGATGTGTGATTTTTGCCCTTAGAACGCTAACAGGTGCTTATTGGATGTGGAACCCCTCTATGTGGCCCAGACTGTGAAAAAGTCTCACACATTTGGTATCACCATATTCAGGAAGAGTTAGAGAATGTGTTTTGGGGTGTAATTTTAAGTATGCCTATGCAGTGTATTAGAAATATCTCATAGATTGACAACTTTGTGTAGAAAAAAATACATTTTCATTTTCTTTTCGCATTTTCCAAAAACTTGTGGCAAAAAATGAAGTCTTCAGAAGACTCCGCATGCCTCTTAAAACATACCTTGGGGTGTTTGCTTTCCAAAATGGGGTCATTTTGTGGATAATTCCATTATCCTGATGCTCCATGACCTCCAAAACAGCAATAGGTAGTTAAGAAATTAGATGTGTGATTTTTGCCCTTAGAACACTAACAGGTGCTTATTGGATGTTGAACCCCTCTATGTGGCCAGACTGTGAAAAAGTCTCACACATTTGGTATCGCCATATTCAGCAGGAGTTAAAGAATGCATTTTGAGGTATCATTTTAAGTATGCCTATGCTGTGTAATAGAAATATCTCATAGATTGACAACTTTGCGTAAAAAAAAAATACATTTTCATTTTCTTTCACATTTTCCAAAAACATGTGGCAAAAAATGAAGTCTTCAGAGGACTCCCCATGCCTCTTAAAACATACCTTGAGGTGTTTTCTTTCGAAAATGGGGTCTTTTTGTGGGTAATTCAATTGTCCTGGTGCTCCAGGACCTCCAAAACTGTGATAGACAGTCAAGAAATTAGATGTATAATTTTTGCCCCTAGAACGCCTAAGGGTGCTTATTGGATGTGGGGCCCTTCTATGTGGTTAGGCTGTGAAAAAGTTTTACACATGTGGTATCGCCATACTCAGGATGAGTAGCAGAATGTGTTTTGGGATGTAATTGCAAGTATGCCTATGCCGTGCCGTGTGAGAGAAAGAACTTGTTAAATGACAACTTTGTGGGAAAAAAAAAAGAATTTTGTTTACTTTCATCAATTCCTTAAAAAATTGGCAAAAAATGACAACTTCAAAAAACTCCCCATGCCTCTCATTAAATACCTCAGACTGTCTACTTTCCAAAAAGGGGTAGTTTGGGGGGTATTTGTACTGTCCTGGAATTTTAGGGCCCCAAGAAATTATATAGGTAGTCCGTACATCAGGATTGATACATTTTCAAATATATCAAATATATATACCGTGGTCTGTGGACTCTATAACTTTCACAAAGACTAAATAATACACACTGATTTGGGTTATGTCTACCAAAAAAATGTAGCACAATGGATTTTGGCCTAAATTTATGAAGAAAGTATATTTATTTGTAAAATTTAGTATCAAATACTAAGAAAAACATGTTTTTTTTCAAAATTTTCAGTCTTTTTTCATTTTTCTAGCAAAAAATAAAAACCCCAGTGATGTTTAAATACCACCAAATTAAAGCTCTATTTGTTTGAAAAAAATGATAATAATTTAATTTAGATACAGTGTTGTATGCCTGAGTAATTGTCATTCACAATGTGAGAGCGCTGAAAGCTGAAAATTGGCCTGGACAGGAAGGGGGTAAAAGTGTCCGGACAGGAAGTGGTTAATGGGGGTAAATCCTGTAGAGGGCAAGTGGTTAAAAACACGTGCTGTGTGTTTACATTAGAGGGCTGGCATCTGCTTTCATGGGGGGGGGGGGGGAATAACTAAGATTTCAATGCCTGTGTTGTGAAATTTGAAATTGAATTTCTGTACAGTGCTTGTAGATACAGATGTAAGGGCATGTTTGAATATACTTTTACTGCTTGTCCAGAATATGTAAATACTTGGGTGTGCATGATCTGGGCACAGGTGCACTTTAGGGATCACAGGAGCTTTTTGTAGCTGCTATTAAAAGAAAAGTAAAGGAATGATTTTAATTTAAAAATCATACTTACCTAGGTGGATGCAGCATCGGTCCGATGGCGCATCTGTCCCCTGCCGGCTTGAAGGGTGAGAAGTCAGAAATCACATGACTACTGATCGGTGAGTTTTTGCTGCCCCTCTGAGCAGAGAGCGGTGACCGTCGGTAACCACCGTCTGCTCAGAGGCAACGCTGCCAACCCCAACCCCCCCTCCCCCGCACTCACTGGAGCGCTGGGCTGTGGAGGGGGAGGGAGCGGCTGGCTCAGGCTCTCAGTGCTTTGTTGAGAGGCTGAGCCAGGTCCCGCTCCAGACTCGGGTGGATCCTGACTTTAAAGTCGGGATTTTTTCCCACCCGAGTGACGTCAGCCAACAGTGGACTTCAGCCTGCTGCCAGCTGAAGATGGGTCACAGGAGTGCAGAACGAACTGCACTCCTGTGATCCACAGGAGAAGTACAGCCAAAAACGCTTAGGTCAGGTCACCGAATCCTCCTTTCATAGAAGAATAAAACTATATGCCTGACAAGATCAGAGTGTTTACCACTGGTTTTTATATTCAGATGAGTTAGGAATGCCTGAAAATAAAATACAGGCGTACCTCGGTTTACGAACGCCACAGTTAATGTAATTTTCGGTTTACGAATAAAAATCCATTGAAAATAATGCCTCAGTTTGCAAACTTTTTTTCTCAATATGAACAGATTAATTGGTTTTCAATTTTTTTTTATCATGTCCCTGTACAGTATTTATACCTTTTAACCACTTGCCGCCCTGCCACTGCATATATACGTGTGCAGGGCGGCAGTGGGGCGCAAAAGCACGTTTTAAAAAGGGGTCCGCGCTCCCGACGTTTTTGCGGGCAGGGGGCGCGCGCGCTCCCGCCGACCCGCGGGTGACACCATTTGATCCCGGAGGGATCAATCATTCGATTTCAGCCAGTGATGTCTGGCTGGCTGAAATCGGATGATCGGTCCCTGTCCTATCCTGTCCTGTGTTGACAGTTACACAGGACAGGATATGATGTCATTCTTCTCTGCCTGGACACATTCCGTTCCAGACAGAGAAGAAGACATACAAATTGTGAGTAAAACAGCACATACCCACAGTTAGAACACTCTAGGACACATTTAACCCCCTGATCGCCCCCCCCCAGTTAACCCTTCACTGCTCTGTCACCAGTGTCACTGATCAGTGAACCGATTTTTACTGATCACTGTATCAGTGTTGTTGGCGACTTCCAATAGTGTTAGCGCCCCTCCCAGATAGCGCCAGATTGCCTGCTAATACACCAGTAATCCCGTCGAACCCCTTGATCCCCCCCCCCCCCCCCGAGTTAACCCCTTCACTGCCCTGTCACCAGTGTCATTGATCAGTG